GGAGAATCTGCACTAACAACCTGCCACACACGCATGGAGGGACACCCTAGGAGTAGTGCTCGAGTATGAGAAAATGTCAAGGAAACTTGCAGATTCAGGAACCGTTTGTGTTTCAGTTTGAGATGCCGGCAAACAAAGGCTTAACCCCAAAAATATAAAACATAACTCTACCATCAAAGGACATAAAGCAGAAAAGAAACTTCTAAAAGCTCAAACTAAACTGCTTAGAGAGAGAAGAAGATGGATCCACTTCACCATCGAAGCTCTCACACAGAATTAATCAGATCTGCCAGACGTTTCTACAGTGGCCCAGTTAAACAACATCAGAAAAGCAAGAAACAACAAGAACAGTAGGAGGATGTCACCAGTATAAATATTATGGACCAGCGAGAAGACAGATGGTTTGTGTGGGGTAAAGAAAGTCCTTTATGTCAAATAAGAAAAAAAAACTTCAAACAGAAAAGGATGGTTTCGATTTCAGCTTTTAAAAAACATATGAAGTGCTGACAGTGACAGTTTCTACTCTGATTAATGCATTTGTGCATGTGACTGAAACATCTCTTTTGTGAGCCAAGCATAGCATAGCATACATGTCAAGTTGTACGGATTGTCTGTAATTTACAGATTTTCCGTCATTTTGCAGGTATATGGACGTCTAGAACAATCTCAGATTTTTTCATGTTTTACGGATTTTTTTCAAAAACTCAGTTTTAAATTTGTTTAATATTTATGACATCAATAATTTTCAACCCACTCTGCTGCTAGAAAAAGGTTCTTCTGTCTTCATTTCCTTCTGATTGTGCTGCAGCTGACAGTCCGCCTGCACTCATGGATTTTTTGTGAAAAAAATTATTATACAGGTAAACATGTATGTTGACATGTATGGCATAGCATTAGCCTGGTTAAAACCAGACCCTCATCCTTCACTTTGCTTCGTACGGAGGGTCTGGACTCTGTCTGGCTATAGAGAAGCGATTCTTGCTGGAGGCGTGGCCTCTGCTGAAGTTTAAAATGATTGGATCGGTTGGCTGTGACGTTTGTCGCCGTGAAGGAGGCTAAGCTAAGAAGCTAACTGCAAATTGCGTGTGCTGTAAACAACCCTACTGAGAGGAGAAAAGTACCGAGCCAAACGAAACAACTGTAATTGAAAGCTGCTGCTTTGTCAGACAAATTTAATTTAATTTGGAAGCCTTATCAACATGAACTGGCTTCCTTCACTTCCTCCACTGCCGTATGCTAAAATAACTAGCAGACACTGCACAGAAAATCGACGTTCTGTTCTCTGATTGGTCAGGACGAAAATTCTCCCGAAGAAATCCTTGTCTATGGGAGAAATCCCAGACGGAGCAGTGAAGGGAAACTAGAATTGAGGTGTGATGGAGTGAGTTCAGTCCAATAGGATTTTCCAAGATGACAATGCATCATGCCATAGGGTAAAAAC